TTTCAAGCCAGCAGCTGCCCAATATAGTTTGAGTAATCTTTTTATTAGAGAACAAATAATTTTTTTTTCACTGCCATCAAAATGACCCTTACTTTTCAATATTTCAAATTCTCCCTGGAGCCCTTTTTGAATATCTAGTAATGTGCTTTGAAGGCGATTACACTACACTTTGTCCCTCCTCTGTTATATAGTATTCTAACTGTTCAGGCTAAACGTCTCTGCTGTGAACAGAAAATAGATTGAGACATCAAACACATTTTTAAAATAAAAAATTCACTAGGTTGTATACAAGAACACAAAAATAGAAAAATGCTATTTGAAACAGGGTTGAAAATATCAAACACAAAATGAAAAAATGAGCCAATATGTAAATACGAGATACAGAAATAATATTCCAACTTTGCTAATCTTTACCTTTGTAATATTCATCGTAAGAGTATTTCTAAACTTTAAATGAAATTGTTCACAAAGCAAAGATTTCTAATTTTGTGCTCTCTTATTAGATTTTATTGAACTCAATTTTTTTAATGCGAGTTCTGAAGAGATGGATGTTTTCAAACTAGCACACAGAGACCATAAGAAACTAAAGGCGTTCACAATGGTCAGAAATAGAAAACAAGATAATGTGTGTGGCATTTGGGAAAAAAGTGATGCTGTGGAAATTTTATGATGCTCATAAGGAAAAAATCTATCAAACAAAGGTCAGAAAAAAAAAAACTGTTATGAGGAAGTTCAGGTCAAATGAATGACAATGATGATGAATGAAAGATTTGATCTAGTGGTGAAGGATGAATGAGGAATCTGGAATAAAGAAGCAGAAAAAATAAAGCCAGAAGAGTCCAAATATGAATGTTAAACTTGCCTTGAACAAAGAAGGAAAGGTGACAAGCCGGCAGACAAATCCCCAAGCAGGAAGACTGTGGAAAGTGGTAGTTTGAAAGAAAAGTGAAGAAAACAAATAGATGGAATATACCCATAGGGATGCAATAAGAACAGAAAAGGAGTGAAGACTGGAGAGAACAGGATGTGCAGGAAAATGAAATCCATTGCCCTGTTCCCCTGTTCACCGTTTGAGGTTTTCTGTTGTCACATCCAGTCACCTGTTTGATTATACTCTTCAGGGAATTTGATATATCTTAGATGGGATTCCTCATACATTATGGGCTATATCAACAAATAATGAAAATGAAGAGTTGCCTTATCTTTTATGGAAGACACACCTCTAGTTTATAGAAAAAAAGCTAATAAATGAATAGTCTTGTGTTTAAGCTCCCCTTCTTAAAGTATTGTGCTCATATACAAAAGTATTGTATGACTTGACAAAGCTAGCCAATGTAAAGCCTACAAATATAGAAGTTTAATATAGCAGTGAGATTGCTTTAGAACTATCCACAGAAGAGTACTGTGTTCCTTATTTAAAGTATAATATCTTTATAAAACACAAACTACACTAGAGCTCTGCCTCATTTGGGAACAAACATTACCCTTACACCATCAAAACCTTACCAGCTATTCCAGTTCATTTGCTGGCTAGTGACAGGGCAGAAGGAAAGTTATTAGATTATCATGTTATGAGGTGACAGCAGAAAGTGACGTAACTGTGTCATTATGGATGTAGATGTTCACAAGCCCCCATGTAAGTCTGCCAGTCCCAATTTAATAGACGAGCTTTTTTCTCTGCCAAGTTTTACACTACCTTGTTTCTTGACCTCTATGCCCCTAACTTCTATGTTTTTCATTGTTATCTTGAATCTCCACAAACTGCTTTGTGACCTTTTTCAATTTTATTCTCTTGTCCCTTCTTGTCCCTTGTCCCTATTTTGCTTTTGGTTTTGCTACAAGTAATACTGATAAAGCACTAATTTGAAATTCAAAATCAGACAGCTCAGTTTCTGGCAGAGTGCATGCTGTTATTCTAGAGTCATCTTTCTCTCCTCTCTCTCTCTCTTTCAGCTTTCACCTCTTTCTTGCTCTGTCTTTCTCTCTTCCTTTACTCATTTCTTCTCTTTCTTTCATTTCTTTCATATAACAACTCTATGTACAACTATGTACTACTTGAGTTGAGCCATCAAGAACAGTTAATAGCTGGGATATCCTTGGAGGCTAAAATGTAGTAATATTTGAAGTCACTGGCACTCTGCAGAGGAAAATGTAATCTATGTTTTTTAAAGACACTTTAATTGCTCAGCAATCATGCAGAACTGAGAAATATAGCTCTGCTTCCAAGATAATAACTCCCCAAATTGCAAAGGTCACTTACACAATACCCTTGCTATCTAGCAAAATATGAGAATGATACCAAGACCCAAAACCTCAACTTTATGTTAATCTACTATTTGGAACGAGCTTTCATGTATTTTTGTAACATTTCACATAACCTGCTGTGTGCTACTGTCATTTAAAAAATAAAGACTTCATCTAGCTTTGTTGTTGAAAGAAAAAAGTTGTTCATATAGAGCCTATTTACATAGCCCTAATTCAGCTAAAACTAAAATTAAAAATGAATGGGAGTTCTATATTAGTAAACAGATGAGAAGCTTTAGCACAGAGCAAAGGTAGCAGTACTAATTACAATCAGCTTTCACTGACCCTTGCTGTTTTTTCTTTTAATTTCCCTCTCTTTTTGTGTAATTATTCCATCAACTAAAAAGAGTTTAAAGCTTTTATTATGTTAATTCTATTTAAATTATTCATATGTATTTAACATTTAAACATAATCTTTATATGGTTATCATGATGTGATTAAAAGGACATCATCTAGCTAATGCATTGATTAAAGATTTCCCAGAAATTTGTGATGTCTGTCATATCTGAACTTATAACCATATATGAACTTCTGAGGGTGAAACTTTGGATCTCTGTACAACCTGCTCAAAACTTTCTCTGTGCAGACTACTTCAAAAAAGAAGTCAAGCATGAGTGCATTCTTTTTAATCCTTTTTCTTCCCCTCAGGACCTAAATATTGTATGGCTCTGTACTTGAAAATAGGTTCTTAGGCTCTAGTCAAAGAGTTTTTTAATGACGTTCAAGTCTCATCAGTACTTTTGAAGATTTTACTTGGTGCAATACCTCAGAAACTGAAACTATAAAATAATACTCATTTTTGGTGAAAGAAGCAACCAAATCAGATTAATGCCAAATAGACACCATACCCGTGTCCTAATCAATTGCAAACTGGCCATAAAACTGAAGACAAAATTACGTTCAGTACCATGGACAAGTACTGCCCAAACTGTCCATAACAGAGAAAACAATTTACTCAAAAAACACCTTTCGTTAAAAAATACACAGACCAGCTCCTGCTCTTTTATAATAAGATTATACATTCTAAATACTGGTAAATTCTTAAGACCTAATTTGTTGAAATCATCACAGCTTAATTCAAAATATGTGGCAAAAAGTATCGGCATTAGAAAATACAGGACTATGGAATTAGTTAGCATGCATAACTTGTTCCTTCTGCTAACTTGTCCCTTCAGTTTGTCACTACGAGAAGAAAATGAAAACCAAAAAAAAACCAGGAACCTAAAAAGCAAATTAAAATCCCCAAAGCTCTTGTCACTCCTTTTTAGCATAACTTGCCCTTACAAATAGCATGAAATATTTACAATGCACTATATTTATCTTCATTTGTTATATCATGCTGAAGATAAAAGCTCTGTATAAAAAATGGTGGCATAAGACAGTCCCTTTATCTTTTTCAATATTTTGTTATGTGTGTTTCCCAACCAAATTATAATTGCACATAATAAATCAACTTTTTCATAATAGTTTAATAATGCACTTTCATTTTGTTAAATTTAAAGGTTATACATGTTTCATAAATCTCAACAGTCCCAACAAGATGTGGCAAAATGTTTGGCTAATAAAATGATGGGCTTCCTCTTCATGAAAGTGAAAAGTTTTTCTTTTAATATCGGTAATTATTAAATAACTAGACAGTTTCTAATGAATCAACAAATTTTCAGTTTCACAGATGATACTCTACAGCTCAAAATTAAGAACAGGGCAAAAAATTGTCTTCTCAAATTAGTCAACCTTCTAAATCCCTGTTATAATTACAGACAAATGCATTTTACAACTTGGTGCACAGAATCAGCTGGTATGACTCTGGTAGCAGAAACTTTATAAAATACTTTCTATCTCCCATCTTTCCACTGAACTGCATTGGGGTCTAATGTCAACAATGGCATTTTTTAACTCCTAATTCTCTGGAAGAATTTATATTGCCATTAGAATTACGTTTTAAGACATATGCTTGATCTGTTATATGTCTCACACTTCTTCAGATCATTTTCCAGAGTCTGTCACCCGTCAGTGTAGTTTGACGCTTGTCATTTACAAGTCACAGGCCCGTGGAAATGAAAGGAAATTTATCCAGTGTCTTAAATAACATCAGGAATAATTTTTGTGAAGATTAAGGTATCTATACCTGTTTTATTTTCATGAAAACAAATCACTTTGTAATACCAAAGTCAATATCCAAGTCTACATCAATACATCACTTCAGACAAAATGGCAGACTTTTATGTATGACCAAACTAAAAGATTGCACTTGGGTTCTCCTTATAATTATCACTACTTTAGCAACACTGTAACAAGTCCTGTCAGCAAACACATTACTCTATTAAAAATCCACTGATAACTCACAGATATTCATAAAATATTCCAATTTCACTGTCCAAAACCAAATAAAATGTTAGGGAAAATTGAAAAGAACTCAAACATTTTCAAGATTTTTTTGTTTTGTTTTGCTGTTTGCTTTTTCAGTTTATCTGCAGTTTTGGATTTCGGGTTATTTTCACTTCAGCAACACTTTTAACTCACTTGCATGTGTAAAACATTTAGAAAGAAGTGATGAGTCGTGTTCATAAAGTTCTGTAACAAAAACTTACCCTCTCATTTTTCTATCAACATTTTTTTTTAAATTGAGTATTTTCCGTTCGTGCCAATACACTTGTTGAAATGTTGGCTGTAGCCAAACACCAGCTGCACTTACCCCAGTGTTGTCATGGTGACAATGGTGTACCAGAAGGCTGCAGGGATGCTGGTGAACTTGCTGGCTGATGAACCTTTCTCTGCATAGTACATGACTGTGGCAAAGATGATGATGGCCATAGTGAGTGAGAAGAGGAGGAAGCCTAACTCCGAGGCACAACTTTTCAGGGTGTAGCCCAGGATGCGCAGCCCCTGTGAGTGGCGGGAAAACTTAAAGATCCTGAAGACACGAAAGACTCGTAGTGTCACAAAAGCCCCACTGACATCCTCATTATCTGTCATCACCAGGCCAATGTAATACGGCATGATGGCGACCACATCAATGATACTCATGACACTGCGCACGAATTTGTAGCGACTAGGGGCCGCCAGCAGACGTAGGAGATATTCAACCGTGAAGATCATGACACAGGCAGTATCCAGACAGAAGAAAGCCACAGCATAGCGCTCTCCACAGGGCAGCTCCTTGATGCGACCTGGGCTTACCCCGCAGGGCACTGTCTCCACCACGTTGGCAATAACAGAGACGGCAATGAAGAAACCAGTGACATAGTAGAAGACCAGAGCCAGTGTACTGGTGTGTGGGTTTTCAAAGGCCCGCCACATCCTCTGCCGAGCTGTCATTGAAGGCAAGGAGCTCTCAGCTGCATGATCCTGGTCGGCATCATCCTGCAGGCGCGCGGCATTCTCACGCCGGCGGTCCTTGTACTCCTCGTAACAGCAGTCACCAATGATCTCAGGGATGATGCCAAAGAAGGCCAGCTCCTCATCGTAAGCTGAGATGCACTCCTGGCGGGGATAATGAAGCTTTCCGGTACGGTAGAAGTTGAGAATGTGGCGGAAAATGTCAGGGTCCCGATCAAAAAAGTACTGCTGCGTCTCAGGGTGGTAGAAGAAGTCCCGCTCCGAACTGCCCAACAGAGTGTCGGGGTAGCGCTCTAAGGTGTCCAGCCACGTCTGGAACTGGATGCCACTCACATTCAGCACAATCAGAGAGTCCTGGCTTCGCTTCCTCTCCTGCCGCGGAGCAGCTGGCATGGGACCTGTGGCCACTGGCATCCATCCTATGGCTGCTGCCCTGGCAAAGGGTAACCAAGCTGCTACTCCTGCTGCCATGGTCCCAAGCAACTACTACAGCTGAGGGAGTCAATCTAGAGACAGTCCTGGCCCAGCCACTAAAACAGAGAGGGAAAAGAAAAATACAAATGCTCACATATTTTCGAGGCAACAGAATTTCAGAACATTGTTGTGATTAACCGAAAATCCTTTTGCTTCCTTTTTTTTTCCCTCCTTTTTTCATCCCTGAATACCCTTTCCAGGGGCTGGTTAGCCAGTTAGGACAATAAATCAGGGCACTTGGAAATCAGCGTATTCAAAGCAGCTACTCTAGCAGCCAGATCCTTTGGATACAAGGTCCATGCGAGGCCCCTGGATGGAAGCAATGGTCCACAAAGCGCCAGCCCCAGGAGCCGGCTAGTAGCCCTGGTGCAGCGGTGCAGCCACCTGGAAGGAGATTTTCTTCCACGCGCGATGCAGCCGGTCCCCTCGCCCCTCCTCCG